TGCGCCATTTCAGAGGCAGCCCCAGCCTGGCCCCTTGCTGCTCTGCACAGCGTGGCAGGGTGAAGAGCAGAGGGATCTCACCTTGTCCTTGATGTTTAAGGGAGCCTTGAAATCACAGAGGATCTCCGAGCACGAGATGCAGCCGCTGACCGCTGGGGAGAAGGACAGAGGCTGAGCACTCTGCCTCCGGTGGGGACAGGAGCAGGATGGGGTTGGCACTGTCCCCACTCACCTGCATGGTGCAGCGCTGTTTGGCCTCTGCCGTCGGCCACGTCCACAGGGCAGGAGGCCTGAGGGAGAGAGCCTGGGTTACAGAAGGACAGGGGACAGACAGACAGACTGCTGCAGTAGACGTGGCTCCTTGGCATGGCAGAGGGCCGAGCAGGTGCTGGGCAGCACGACACAGCACCAGGCAGAGCTGGGAACCACCATGGCAAACAGCACCAGTGGGGAGGGAAGGGAGTTCAAGGACAGAGAGGACACCACGCTGGCACAGCACCCTCCCTCCCTCCCTCGCAGCACTGTGCTCCCAGCCCCAGTACCTGCAGCAGCTTGCTGACGCACTGTGGGTGGCCATGCTTGGATGCCAAGTGTAGGGCAGTGTAACCTGGGGAGAGGGATGGACAGATGGACGGATCAGAGAGCAGACAATGGATCTGTGGCAGAGGGGACTGGTTGGGTGACAGACGGACAGATGGGCACACAGGAGGATCTGCTGGACTGGGGCTGAATGGGACTGGGACATCCTAAGGAGCACCATCAGTCAGTGCTTGCGTCCCCATAGGAAGCTGGGACAATTTAAAGCCCCCCCAGGTGTGGCCGTCACCTCTGTCCCCTCAGCCTCAACACCCGCGGCAGGGTGGGAACAACCAGGGAGTGCCGGTAGCCCCAGCTGGTCCATGGCATTAGCCAGGGGTGTGTGATGGCCATGCCCTCACCCGAGCTGTCCTTGGTCATGGCATCCACGCCGTGAGCCAGCATGGCTTCCAGGCAGTCCACATTCCCCCGCATGGCGGCCAGGTGGAACCTGCAGCAAGATCAGACTCATGTCCCTGGCCCCCAGCTTTGTCCCCAGCCCTGCGTCCCCGGCGTCCCAGGGATGTGGATCAGCACTTACGCAGATTTGCCCTCTGAGTCCAGTTTGGTGGGGACCAGGCCCTTGCGGACGAGGAGAGATGTCACCCTCCCGGCATCGTTGTAATCCACAGCTTGCAGGAGCTTTTCATCATTCTTGGTCCAGTCCTGGCTCTGCAATGAAGCCAAGAGGAGGCTGTGATGGCTGTGCTCTCCCCAGAGACCAGCGGGGTGCTGGGCTGGGCACGGATCCCTGTCCTCATCCTCATCCCTACTCATTTCCACCCATTTCCATCCCCTTGGGGTGGCCAAGCCCTTTCTCAGCTGCTGTGGTGTGTGGCCCCCAGGTATGGAGGGTGTAGCTGGGACAGCTGACTGGGATGAGGATCCCCTTCAGCCTTCCACCCCAGTTTGCAGCTTACAGACCAGAAGATTTACAGAGGTGCCCCAGTTTAGCTGTGGATGGGCCAGGCTGTGACCGGCTAGGATTTGGGAGCGAGCCGACCCTGCCTGGTTGCCCCCGCCCCAGGTTTTGCCCCTGTCACCCTGATGACCCCAATGCTAAACACAGCCAGCACCGCACCCATGAGGTGCCTGCACCCCATCCCTGCCCAGGTCTCCCCACTGAGCCCATTCCCAGCCCCTCTTTGCTCCCCAACGAGGAAGGGATGAAGTCAGGGTGAGCACAGTTGGCAGTGAGTGCAGGTCCCCTGGGATGGCTCCAGCCTCCCTGGGATATACGGGACACTATCCTGAGCAGGATTGGGGCTGGATGCAGGGCTTGCTGACCCAGTGGTCCTGCACGTCCCCATCCCGAGGGAGCAACCCACGGTGGGACAGGACCAGCACGGGAAGCCCTGGGTTCACCCCGCAGCCCGTGATGACAAAAAGCAGAGCTCGCTGCGGTCGCGGCGGCAGGAAATGGATGTCACCTTTTGGGAGCTGCTTGCATCCTGCCCCTCGCCAGCCTGCTGCCCAGTGCCAGGCATGGGGCCCGTGCCCCCTGCCCGCCAGGGGGTGAGCCTGGGCCCTGACAGGTCCGAGGGCCTGTGCCTCCCTGGGCCCCCCAGCTCTGTTCCCAGCACCCCAGTAGGTGCCCCTCCCTCCCCAAGGCCCCCAGCTCCCGTGCGTCTGTCCTCAGCCCCCCCATGTCCCCAGACCCCCAGCACCCCTATTCCTCCACCACCAGTCCCCTCATGTCCCCAGTCCCTCCAGTGACCTCTAATCTTGGGTGCCCTGTAATGCTGTCCTTGGTCCCCTCAGTGTCCCCAGTCCCCTCGGTGCCCCTGTACCTCCATCCCTGCTCCCTCCATCCCCAGTGCTCCCAGTCTGCCCAATCCTGCTGTCTCGGGGACCGGAGATGGAGGACAGGGACGTACCGCAAAGGAGGCAGCGGCACAGAGGCAGATCTGCTTCATGGTGTGGAGGAGGAGGCGGCGGGCAGCCATGCATCCCTTGCCCCCCGCCTCGGCGAGGGTGGGCTGGGGCTCCAGGCCGTGGACCCCAGACCCCAGTTCGGTCCGGCATCGCTGCACGGGCGGGGGCCGGGTCTTGCCGCAGTGGGAGCCAGGATCCGCCTCCCTCCATCCGTCCGTCCCTCCTTCTTTCCCTCCTTCCCTCCCTCCTCAGCATCCAGAGCTCCAGGCATCCCTGCATCCCTGCCATCACGGAGCAGGTACCAAGGTCCCAGTCAGGGACAAGCAGCCAGGCTGGTCCCAGTTAAAGTGGAAGGGGTTGGGGAGGCGACAGCTTTCCCATCCCGTGCTCAAGGTGAGGCAGCAATGCACCCCCAAACCAAGGGGATGAGCATCCTCCTGCCACCCAGATCCTGCTCCCCGAGGAGGGGGACGTGGGACCCCTTGCCCTACCCTGGGGGGAACAGACTTACCTGGAGCCAAGGGAGGGGCAGGACCCCCTGCCTGCATCTCAGGGGTCCAACAAACGCCCCTCAAGGAGGGAATGCCAAAATTCAAAGGGTCCCTGGAAGAGCCCTGGGAGTGGCAGGACAGCAGGAGTCTCTCACCCCCCCCTGCTCACAGAAGTATCCAGGGCAGTGTGGGGAAACTGAGGCACAGAGCACCCTGAGCAGGGCAGGCCTGCAGACTCCACGTGAGGGGACTGCATCCATGTGTCCCCAGTGCACATGTCTGCCCAGTGCTGCCACAGGCACTGGGGACAGCACTGTCACCCTCTGCCCGATGTGGAGGATGGTGAGAGCCTGCGGCACCATGCCAGGCTGGTGCTGAATAATTGAGGAGCATCAACATGCTGGTCCCACTGGCTGTGGCAGCTGGAAAGCTGGCAGCCGTCCCCAGGGAGGGGACAGGGAGGGGACCTGGGACCCGCTTCCCTCTCCCTGGTGCTGCCTTTTTTTCCTTTGCTCTGCCCCACCCCAATAATGGCCCTGGGAGCACCCTTGGGTGCACTGGGAGCTTGATCCCAGCAGTCAGGGTGGCGGTGCTGACCTCCATGGCTGTCCCCATGGTGAGCAGCCACCCCACATCCCAGGGCAGGTCCCCATGTCCCCTGCAACACTGGGGACATCCTGGGGAAGATCCCTTATGTCCTCATGTCCCTGTGGAATCTGGGACGTCCCAGGGCAGGTCCCCGTGTCCCTGTGAAATTTGGGACAACTTGGAGCAGGTCCCCATGGACATCCCAGGGCAAGTCCCCATGTCCCTGTGAAACCTGGGTCATCCCGGGGCAGGTCCCCGTGTCCTCATGGACATCCCAGGGCAGGTCCCCGTGTCCCCACGTCCCTGGGAATGGCACTCACGTCCGCCTTCTTGAACTTGGCCT